CCCGTGGGAGAAGCTATGGAGGAAGGGGCCGCCGGGGGCGAGGTCGGGGTCGGCGCTCGCGAGGTCGGGGGCGAGGTCGGGAGATATACGCGAGGGGAGGGGGCGTGTCGTTTTTTTTTCCTTTTGACAGACAAGAAGGAGGGGTGGTGTTGTTTTTTTAGAAGGAATACATCATTCCACTTTTTTTTTTTTGAAAAACAGCTTGAACTTTATTAATTAGAAATAATAGTTACATCGTCTATCAGAAGAGTTACAAGATTTTTCATGGGCTTCTCTATCCAATCCTTAGTCATGCAACATTTTGCTAATCTAGCAAACTCATGAGCTACTTTGTTCGTTTCTCTATTACAATGTTCAAAACTGATTTGTGGAAAATCACAGCCCATAAAAAAACAATCCTCAAAAATTGCCGCCGCTGCTCCCGCAGACTCTCCACCGTTCTTCATTGTGTCAATGACATCCATATTATCAGAATTGGTAATGAGACGATTGCAGCCCATTTTTTGTGCTAACAGTAAACCAAATCTGAGTGCTAACACCTCCGCTGTCAGAGTATCCGCACAGTATTGAATCTTCTAGTTACCACCTACTATGAAATTTCCTCTGTCATCTCTGATAACAGCCCCCGCTGTGCCCCGTAGCTGATCATGATCAAAAGAAGCATCCACATTCAATTTAACAAACCTCATGGGAGGTCTGCGCCATCCTTCATTCTTTCTCTTTGCTTTAGGTGAGTGGGCATTTACATAATTTGCTGTTACAGCCCTAATCCCCATGGAGGTTTGAGACGCCTCTTGAGACTTACCCTCATGGACTAGTTTCCGTCTATTCCACCATAAATACCAAGCAGCTATAACGATTAGTTCCCCTGCATTTCGGGAGCCCAAGATAGGTAATTCATCATCAGGCATAAGGAGTAAGAATTCAAGGACTTCCTCTCCTGCACGGGCAATGATGCAGGCTTTTTTGCCACTTCATACATCCCCAAATATTCTCACACTTCTTTTGCCTTTTGGCAGAGAAATAATACATGCTTCGTGTCCTCTTGCCCATCCAAGCATGTTGGGCATATTGGCTGAGTTTTTATATGTTTGTTGGCCAGTGTAACGCGACACGGTAGAGTCTCGTGGAGCGTCCGCCAAATAAAAATTTTAACCTTCGCCGGACAAGCTAATTTTCAGATCTTACCCGAAATAGGATTGACCTTACTTCTACCCATGCCATCTGAGTATTCCAATTTCCTTCCGTGCTGCTTTTTCCATTCCTCCACATACGCTGATCGTACAGTGTATACACCATTTTTTATATAGCTTCATGCAATAAAGTCCGACATATTGTGCATAGGGATCGGGATCGCTAGGACTTTACGGGCATCCATTGGCCAAAAAGTTTGTCTCACCAAATCTTCATCCCAACAATTCGTGATTGGGTCAATAAGATCAGAAACTTCCGTCAGGAGATTCCCCCTTCTCGGTGTAATAATTTTTCTATCTGCACAATTTGGGATCCATGCATCTCTCCATATGTCAATCTTTTCTCCTGTTCCGACTCTCCATATATAGCCATTCCTGAGTGAAACCACTCTTGCCATAATACTTTGCCACGTAAAAAAGGAGCCATTTTTTAATACCGTGCTCATCAAATCGCCCTTCGGGAAATATTTTGCTCTTACGATTGTTGCACATAACGATTCAGGATTTTCCAAGAGGCGCCATGCTTGTTTCGCTAACAAAGCCTAGTTAAAACAGTGTATATAACGGAAACCCATTCCACCTTGGTCTTTTGGAACACACATCTTCCACCACGCCATCCAGTGCATCCTTTTCTGATTGTCCTCGTCACCCCACCAGAATTGCGACATCGCATTTATGATTCCTTTGCAAATCTTTTTAGAAATTTTGAATACAGACATTGCATATGTTGGGATAGCTTGAACAACAGACTTAAGCAAAATTTCCTTTCCACCAGCCGATAACAACTTTTCTTTCCATCCACTAATCTTCATAATAATACGATCAATTAAGAACTGGAAACAATCGCTTTTATCCATGCCCACATTGGCAGGTAGTCCCAAATATTTATCGTCAAGTGCCTTAGTCATAATATTTAAAATTGTACAGATTTGCACTTTGTCCTCCACTTTTGTATTGGGACTAAAAATATACTGGATTTTTCGACACTTACCATTTGCCCCGAGGCGGCACAGTAAGAGTCCAGAACTGCTCTAAGGGCCTCCGTGTTCGCAACATTTGCTTGCATGAGGATCAAAGAATCATCCGCAAATAATAGATTGGAAACTGAAGGGGCTTCCATGCTAACCTTAACACCGGAACTATTTCCCCTCTCCTCCGCATTTGCTAAAAGGGCAGTCAGGCCCTCCGTACATAACAAGAATAAGTAGGGGGGAGGGGGTACCCCTGCCTTACCCCTCTGGTGGGTTTGAAGTTATCAGTCTCATCTGCATTAAACCGAACCATGTACTCCACAGAGGACACACATTGCATAATCAAGTTCACCCAGTTTTCTTTGAAAGCCAACTTCCCCAAAATTGCTTTTAAGAAAGACCATTCCACTCGGTCGTAAGCTTTGTGCATGTCCAACTTGATAGCACACAGCCCTCCCTCCATGTTCTTTTCTTCTTAATTGCATGGAAACACTCATATGCTACTAAAATATTATCTGTGATCAGTCTCCCAGGAACAAAAGCACTCTGAGTTGGGCTGATAATATCTGACAGAATTAATTTCAAACGCGATGCAATCATTTTTTAAATAACCTTATACACCACATTGCGTAAGCTAACATGTCCAAATTGAGTAACCTTTTCCGGGGAGTTAACCTTTGGGATCATGACAATTGCAGTATCATTCCATCCTGCCGGTATTGAACATGTATTCACCGCCTGGAGGACCTCTTTTGTCAGGTCCTCTCCCAACATAGACCAAAATCTCTTATAAAAAATAGCATGTAGACCATCTGGACCCGGCGCTTTTAAATCACCAATGTCAAATGAGGCTTTTCTAACTTCCTTTGCCGTATATGGGGCCATGAGGGCCCTATTCATTTCATCTGTCACTTTTCTTTTGACAAGAGAGAGAACTTTCGGGTCTGGTTGAGAGACTTCTGATGTGAAGAGAGTTGAAAAATACCTTTTGATATAATCCTTCATTTCCGTACCTTGCACCCAGGCTCCGTCATCCCCAAGCAATTTTTAATCTGATTCCTTTTCTTTTTTGTTGTTGCCGCATTATGAAAAAAAGAAGTGTTGCGATCCCCATGCAATAACCAACTTGCACGACCATGTTGTACCCAGTAAATCTCCTCTTGCTCTAGCAAATTTTCAATGAGGACCAAAATCTCCTTTTGCCGTGCTTGGGAATCCACATTCACAGGACCCCTTCGTATCTTTTCCAACTCTTTTTTGAGCTTTTTATTCTTTGTTTTGGGCCTCTTAAAACCTCACGGTCCCAAATATGCAAATCTGACTGAACCACATGAGTACGATCAGCGAGCTTTGGCCCAATACCCATCATTTTTGCCTTTTCCCATGTTGTACGAACAATTTCACCGCCCGTCTCTTCCTTGAGCCATCGATCTTCAAACTGTTTTACTCGTCCCCTTAGGGCATTAAAAATATTTCCGTCAAAATATTATGTATCCAATACGAGTGGACGATGATCAGAATGAACATGTTCCTCATTAATAATCGCGGCCTGAGGGAATTTGTTTGCCCATTCCACATTGCACACGGCACGGTCAAGTCTCTCTCTAGTATCGCCTCTCCTCCAAGTGAAAGGGTCACCGATACGGCACATATCCTCGAGGCCACACTCTCCTAAACAATTTCGAAAATCTCTCATCATAGCATTTGGTGTCGCATTTCCACCCTCTTTTTCTGGCGATAGTAATATTTCATTAAAATCCCCTAAGATCACCCAGGGGTGATGACCCAGATTATGTAAATTTCGAATATTATCCCATGATAACTTGTGTTCAGTCCAAACCAGATGACCATAAAAATCTGTGAACCGCCAATGTACATCTTCATCATTCATAAAAAGAATATCAATAAAATGAGACGACACATAGTTCGAAACAACTTTATTCAACTTATTATAATACAAGACTAGGTCACCGGCCCGACCATCACTCTCCACTACAATCATCGAATCAAAAGATAAAAAACAACGCACCTCATCGGCTTTACATTTATTCAAGTGCGACTCAGAGAGAAAAATCAAATCAACCTTGGTGCGGTGTTGGAGCTCCAAGAGCTCACGAACTACCGTGGGGGAGAGCATACCACGACAGTTCCATCCTAGGTTCCTCATTTGGCCCGGCGGTCCTCCTCCTCAGAGGCCGCCGATGCGCCATCATCTCCAACTGATTCCCTCCTCTGTTGCACGTAAGCCTCCTCCTCCTCTATTTCCTTTGCTACATGTGTGGCTATCCCATCACCACCCCTCATAGTTTCAACTCTACCCATACAAACTCTTTTAGAAGAAACACTCATCTCACCATACAACACATGTTCATAGCTATCCATTTCCCTCTCAAAAGAAAATTTTTGGCCACTCTCTGTTGGTGGTACCCCAAATGGATTACCCCTCTTTTTCCCTATGGTCTCTTTTCGAGCACTCTCAGCTTTCTCATCCCCTCCTTTATTTTTACCTTTCTTCTCCTTTCTCTTTGTGTGGCCCTGCATAGGTTTCTTTTTTGCAGCAAAAGTAAACATTGCAGATTCCTTTGCCGCAGCCGGGCTAGCTAGCCTCGCGGCCACAGCTCCTGTAAGTGCCTCCAGCACACCAGGCGCGAAGACAACCTGATTTTGCATGTTAAGAGAGCCAGCCGCATCAGGTACAACACTAGCTGCACCCCTCGAATGGATCCCCTGGCCCTCCTGACCAGCAGGACATTCTACATGGACAACATTAGTAGCTATGACTTGTGTAGTTTGGGGCGTTCCCAAAAGCAGCCGCACATGGCCCTCTTGGCCTTGGTGCCAAAGGAGTGTAGTAGTGCCCAGGCATGCAGCCTGGTTCTCCTGACCAGGGGCTCCACTTCCCAGGGATAGCAGCGACGCCACAGAGGCTCGGCCCTCCTGGACGAGCTGTAGTGCTCCTGTGGTGGAAGCCCCCCTTGCCGCTAGGTCCTGGCCCTCCTGGCCAAGACCGACGCATACGAGCGGTCCCTCGAGCCAGGTCCACCTGACGTGTAGCCGAGGACGCTGGCAGAGGAGGCACATGACCCCGACCCTCCTGGCCGAGTGAGTGCCTCCCGTGGCCTGGTCCCCCAGTCGGCAAGATCGTCATCTTCGTAGACGACACAGCAACTTTCTCCTTCATAGTGATATCACCTACAGCTTTGGTCACTTTGACCACCATTCCTTAGGTGGCCTTGGATGTGTTGTTGTTCCTGTAGCCTGTGTACAAAAGGGCTCTTCTACTAGATGTTTGGCCCTTCCAGTAGGCCTCTACACCTAGATTTTTTTGCAAAATTTGCTACTCTGCTCTCCTTAGGAATCCTACAAAACCGCTTAGACACATGTCCTACAAGCCCACAACACTCACAATATGACGGTAGTTTTTCATAGCAAACATCATACTAAAGTTCTTCTTTGCTACCTAAGGGAGTAAATTCTACCCTACTCTTGATTGGCTCATGTAGCGGGATTCTCACACGCACACGCAAATACTTCTCTACAACATTCCACTTAACTCTGATGCTCAGCACATTCGCTGGCAACCAGTACAGATACATAGACTGGAGCGTTTTCAGTCCAAATAGACAAAGGCACCAAAGCCCTGTAGGCATGTTGTGTGAGCACATGTGCGACCTTGTTACATTCCCGACGGCGGAAGGTGAATCCAGCATATTCAAAAGAAGCGTGGCATAAACTGCGAGCTTCACGAATTAAAACACCGACCTCCGCAGCATCATACTCCTTGCTTTTCAGCGCATTGACCAGAACTTGGCAATCTGATTCAAAAACAACTCTCTGCACACCCAGATCCACCGCTGCTTCAATTGCCTTGAGGCTAGCCTCAGCTTCCGCATGCAGGGGATCACGGATGTGAGCAAGCTTCCCTGCTGCGGCAGCAATGAAGTCTCTGGCACCATATCTCACGATGAAGCCCCATGCACCCGTGTTTGACTGGCTATCAAAAGTTGTGTCAACGTTCACTTTCACTCAGCCTAGTCTAGGATGTCTCCATTTGT